ATGGTAGAGTGCTGCTAATTTGTGCATGTTAAACCCCCCCAGTTTGCACACATTTAGTGAAACAATTGTGATTGCTATTATGTGACATATCGCAACCAAACAGTGAGAGGGGACGACGGGGCTTAATTTCCGTTCCTAATGTATAAGGATGCCTTAGAAGTTCGTGAACATCTTTTGATTTCAGTACCTTAATGAGGGTACCCTAATGGGGTTTTTAAAATGCGGAAGCGCGAACGAAGCGTCGCGCATGAAGTGAGGAAAAAGGTGAGCTTTTTCGTACTCTTTTTTTATCTCCTTCAATTGCGACATAATGCTGACACACATCTGCCCTGCGATGGATCTTCTTTTCATTGCCTCTCTTGTGGTGCCAGAATCATTCGATCTTTTTAGCCTGCCTTATTGTAAAGATCACTCGTCTCGAGATTTATAAACTGTAACTAATCCGGCAAGTTGATGTATTAACACTTTTGACTTTGACAATTTCAAAAATGGAATGGAGAAATCCAATAATCAACGGAGTGAGGAAGTCTACGATAGAAAGTGAAAAAGGGCACACGCACGCGGATCTCGTAATTTATTGGATTTTGGGACTTGTTCTAGATTCTATTCTCGAGCGTAACTCGTGAGCTGCTGACAGTCCTCGTTGAGAAATGCTCTTTCAGTATGTCACCCACCTGCTATAACTTGCAGATTGTTTCGACTGGAGAATGCCAAAAGAAGTCGCGATGCATAAAAACACTTTTCAGGAAAGCGCGAGACGGCTCTCGATATGGGGGGAGATCTTTGAGCTGTTTGCTCGGTTGTCCAGCCGAAAGCATGCCCTCGACCTCTCTCATGTTTATTTCATGTGGGCTGCCATTGTACATGTTTACTTAAACGCACTCACATATGAGGAATAACGAGGCTGAAGTATTCCCGCCTCACACTGCTCTTTTCAGTACAGCAACGGAGAACGACACATTCAAAGCATACAACATAACAATCACTATGGTGTACCAATTAACAGAGAGCACACTACGAACATTTTGGATTATGGCGAAGAACTGAAAATATCATACGGTACAGAGAAAAGCGCGTAGAAAACAGCAGTTGTGGCCAGAATGGCCAGGAAACGTCGCGAACATTGGGCGAGTTCCTTAGTGAAGAGAAGCGCAATGAGGCAAGCTGATGAGGAGAAGAGTCGAGCGAAAAACCAACGAACTGAAAATGCGCTTTCAAAGCACAACGTACTCAGAACACAGCACTGAAAAAAGTTTCTGCTCTCATTTGCGCCCAGCCAGCTCCGCCTCTATTCGCCTTCATCAGGGTCTCATTGAGCAAACGGTGTTAGAGTATAATTACATGCGATTCGCTCTCATATTTGATGATGCGATTGCATTCGGAGTAATTTTTAGGGAGGTGGAGCGACTGCGATGACGTCAAGGTACGTCATTCCTAGACAGGGAAAAGGAATCGTACGGGGTGAGAACAGCCAGTTTATTTCCGGACGGGTTTTCTATGAAATTTGATGTAATTGAGGAACACCCAAGGAGGCAAAATAGCCAGAATAGCAAGTCTAGAGCAGTCTACTGTTGGGGGACGGCTGTAGTGATTTGAGACTCTCCATCGTGGTGCCATAAGCTCCCATTCGCACATGCACATCTCCTGAAGCCGGATAGGAGTATAGATAACGTGTAATTTAAAGGACGAATTCACGATGAAAAAGCAACCCATTTCAAATTAACCTAGGGATGGTGAGTGGTACACGAAAGAAGGAAGAACCATGAGAAACGGCCCAGAACCCGAGAAATGGGACCCCTTCCTTGCCCGTTGATTTGAGCATTGATGCGACTCTCATCGCTGTGCCCTCTTCAACACTACGCTCTCTCTGCTATCTAATCACTCGCCACGTATAGACCTGCGGCGAGTGATCAGATGATCGGTGGGCGTGCACTGGCCCACCGCGCCAAGATTGAGCCTTAATAGGTCGCCGAGGTCAACTCCTTCGGTGCCAATTGCGCTTCAGTCCGCACCCTTAGGAGGTCCGCGGGTCCCTCAACTAGGTGAATTACTCCTTCTTCGACTTTCATTCTAATCGTGAATTCGTCCTTTCAAGAGGTCCTTTAAGAGTAGAAATGAATTTTGTGTGGGACTAGTCGAAATAGTACTTTTCCGCATGAATTACATTATAGTTTGCCCTTAAATTATATGGACATGACACGTTGAGTGTAAGCTCAGATGGGAAGGCAGATTGATTCTGTAATGGTCACTAAGAAAAGTGCTGATAATTTTTTTTTCTTCTGCGATTGACTTACCGATATGAGGAAGCCTGGAGATGGTGTAAATGGAGGAGATGTCAGAGAAAAAAGTGAAATACACAGGAAGCAAGTACGCTCGTTGCATACCATTTCCAAACACGTAAATGAAACCGTCCATGAGGGTTATGCCTGAAAGAGAAGCATTCGTTCCTCTCAGTGAACCGAGTTGTTTGGACACCGTGGATAGAGAATGCCCTAGGATTATTGCCGGTTAAGCTCAAACCGGAAGGCTGACCGATAATTATTTGAATGTCTTCTGTAGCCTCTAGCACATGTAAAACACTAGCCGGCTGCTACTAGTTTGCGCTTCAGCGATCCTTTAAAAACATAAAGGTGACCTCGTAAATGGAAGTCAACCATGTGAGGCAGACTAAAGCAATCAGCATTGTCTGGCCACTTCCTTTCGTCGTACTATCTATCAGGTGATCCCAAAATTATTGGGGAGCGAAATGCATGGGATCTAGTTGTTGCATAGAAGAAGCTCTCTCGGCGGGTTGATCGGCTATTCTCATAGCAAAAGTTATATCCATTCTCCCTCAGCAGCAAGCTCTGAAGGGTACGTACTATGTACCTTTGCTATCATGTTTCTCAAAGATATAAGTGCATATGCACTCACTGGAAAAACTATTGCTCACAAATGATGTCGGGTTAGAACTACCGTACCCAACTATTCATAAGCACAAAGAAAAGAAAGTATTCTTGAGAAAGCAGAATTGAAGCTCAAGGTGTTAACGAACTCTCACAACAAAACGCTGTGCACCCGTTACCATAGCAAAATTAGGAAGAAAGTGTAGTGCTTCCACAAAGGAACACTATTGACTTGAGTTTTCAAAAAACGAGGCTTGAAAGCCTTGTAGGTGAGCACCTCCCTTCAGGCTTTCTATGCACCCACTTGATGTTTCCTACGAGAAATTAAAATTCAAAAGCGCAGGCATTCGGAAGATTGAAAGTTGCTGTATTCAAGCTTGAACCTCAATCTTTGACATCTCGTGTACTGGGAAGCATAAAAACTCACAATATATAGGTACAATGAGGTTAATGACTATTCTCGGTTGATTCCGTTGCACGCTGAACCCGATTTCAATAGACTCCAGGTAGAAATCCTTCATTTCGCTTAAGTGAGCAGATTTAATTTGAACGTTTTTTCCACGATAGCAGGATTTGAATTCGCAAACCTGTAGTATTTTCCAATGTCCGTCACATTCTTATATGATGTATAATTTGTAATTTTATGACCCGATCGATATGCGGTTTCGGACACCGTCATGAATTCCTTTGAGTTTGCGTCATCTATAAATGATTCATTAAACATGAATTACAATGAGATATGAAAATT